AGAGAACACAAGTGTTGGGACGGATCAATAGTCCCTGAGAAATTATCAGGAAATTTTGAAAAGTATGCAATTTCCACCACAACTATATTTAGATGTTGTGAAGTACTTAGTTGCCAACCCAAAGTGGCATTAGAAAATGGTGAACATGTTACTGGAAATAAGAAAATTTTGGATTTATAATGACTTCCATGGTATGTGATGACGGTGTTTGACTTCCTTGTTGAACTTGTATTTTTTTACTTGTTAGTCTTTATTTATTCCTTTGACATTTGAGATATTTTATATTTACGACCTTCATATTTAAGACTTAACTTGCTTTGTTATAAGAACCGATACACAATGTGTTGTTGTGCAATGTTTCATATATGTTGGATATGGTCAACAGATTTTAAAATTGAATGTTAATTATACTTTGATTAGTATTACAAAAAATATGAACTAATGAACAAATTGTTACAAATGGACAAGTATAGATGGCGTTGTCTAGCCATACAAATTGTAATCGAGATAATGAAAGTGAAAAAGTAGAGTTATATGTACATGCTGCAACCGCATTGTGTGGGACTATTGCGTATGAAACAGAGTTCAACATGCAAGGACGTCAACCTAGACATACATCTACATTAAATGTTCACGATTATGTAGTGGAACTAGTAAATGGTCATCCTACAAGAATATACAATAAGTGTCACATGGGCAAACGATGTTTTTAGACCTTATGTTATATATTGGCACAACAAGGCAAAGTGCGGGTAACCAGGCACATGAGTATTGAAGAGCAAGTAATGATATTTTTGACAACAATTGGGAAAAACACATCAAATAGTGATTGTATGGAGGATTACCAACATTCCAATGAGGCAATCTCTAGATATGTCCATGCAGTTTGTGATGCGATATTGGAGTTGAAGTTAGATTTTATCAAGCCACCTGACTTCAATGATGTTCCATTAGAGATATTGACCAACCAAAACTAATACCCTTTCTTTAAGGTACTTCTTAATTATTTTTAATTAGTTGGTAGTTAAGTTCATTATTTTATAAATGTTGTTAGTCTTCACATATTATTAAAATGCAATTTTGTCAATAAGAATGCATTGGAGCGATTGACAATACACATGTACATGCGTGGGCACCAGCTGAGGTAGCCGATACGTACCAAAATCGTAAAGGGACATTATCACAGAATGTGATGGCCGTATGTGACTTCAAGATGTTGTGTTCACATACATCGTCACCGGCTGCGAAGTATCTACCCATGACACAAGGATTTTAAATTCAGTTCTAGATAATCCTGATTCAGGTTTCCCACATCCTCCTCCAAGTATAACTAACTTCTTTACGTATTCTAGCTAAACTGTAAATATTTTTTTAAGATTCTGCAAATAACATTCAGTATTTCATTATAGAAAAATATTACTTAGTAGATGCGGGTTATGCAAACAGAGGTGGGTTCCTTGCCCCACATAGACGGGTTCCTTACCATGTTCCCAATGCGCGTTGTAGCCTTTCTGGACCCTTGGAGTTGTTTAATTACAGACATGCATCACTTCATAATGTTATAGAGAGGACCTTTGGTGTTTTGAAAAAAAGGTCTCACATTCTTGATGGCATGAACAATTACCCATTGGAGAAGCAAGCTAAAATTGCCATGGCATGTTGTGTAATTTATAATTTTATCAAAAGGTTCGATATGAACAACCCCATCTTCCAAAAGTTTAATGCCAATGGAGTTTATGAGGAAGGGAATGGGGCGGGTTCGAATCAACCGACTCAGCATAATACAGATGACATGGGAACTCTGATGGATAACATAACTACTGCTATGTGGGTAGAACATGAATCCATCTCGTAATTATTAACTGAATATAGGTGTATGAAGGATTCTAAGGAATGATTATCAGTAGCTTCGTATTATTAATTTAGATATGTATTAATGTCGTGTTTTTAAATGATATATTAGTAGTTGAAATTATTATGGAGAATTTGTTTTTAATTCAGTGATAAAAAAATTACCAAACAACTAATTAATATTATTTAAATGTAAATTGAAAAGTTCAATAAATCAAATAATAAATTTTTTTAATAAAATGCATCAAAATATTCTATCTTAAAATCCTTTTTGAAAAAATATACCAAACAATTATTCAGTAATTAATTTAACTCTAATATAATATTCAAATAATGTACCAATACATATTCAAATTCAAATCTTATTCCATTAAATACAACTCAACTCAATTTTTTCCAAAAGACTATTCTAAAAAGTGTCAAAATAGTGAACCAAATGGAGCGTTAAGTAGTAGATTTCGTGTTTGATATTTATTTACAGTTGGGTCATATACGTTGTTTGCTTGAGAATTTTTATCTATGTATGTTGAAAATGTTTACAAAATTCAAATTGCTTAAATGATACATATTGGATAGATGAGGTATGAAATTTGATTTCGAATAATCAACTTATGATTTTTATAATGTTATGGGATTAAAATGTGATTTATTATTAGAAAATTAATAATGTTTTGCTTACAACTGAGTCATACAGTTAGATAAAAATTGTATAAAATTTATGGAAAATAACTATTCTATCATTTGCTTTTTGCCTGGTTGATTGTAGTGCGGAATGACATGGTTATTAGATTATTGAGATTTTCTATTCTTTCACCAACTTGCATGTTGGTAAGATAACAGCAAGGATGTTTGTATGTTCTAAGGATAATTTTCAATCGAAAGATAATAGAGGTTTTTTAACTGTAATTTGAGAGCAAAAATAAGTACTAGTTGGGTGCTCTTTTTATTATTATTATTATTATAAGAATTTTATTTTGTATTTAGATTTAAGTTGGATTCAAGCAAACATGTTAAACTGCTTTCGGAATTACTTTAATTAGTAATAGGTCGGGTAGAGGATTGGGGTAAGTAAGCTTAGAGAATAATAGATGTTGTAAAGAATGATTGGTAAAAGAAATAACGGTCCACAAATTGTAAAAATGAGCTCTTATCATGATTTTTGTTAAATCAAATATAGTTGAAAATAAAATATAAAACACTTAATTTGAGGTGTGTGTAGTTTTTCTCTTATTCACTTAAGAGTCAACATTAAAATAAAATCCACAGGGTATTTATCTTAATTAATTTTAAATTTTTTTGCTTTTAATTAATTAAGCATGTCAAAAAATAATTAAATTAAGTTTTTTTTTTTCTATTTAATAAGACCCTTTAATTTTTAAATATTAATAATATTATTTTAAAATAAAAATACTAAAATTAAAAATCTTTCTTATTTCATAATCATGAAAAAATAGATAAGGAAATTAATTATCGTATGCGAAGTGACGGACACATAAGATAAACAATCTTGAAATGAAGGAAAATGCACCGTTAATGGATCTTTGTCAGTGACCGTTGGGTGGTCCTAATTGAGGGGCATGGTAGCTAATTTTCAAATTTCAAGTGCAAGTTTAATTTTGACTTGTACTTTTCTATACTTCACATCAAGGCCAGTGAAATGTAGGGCCAAAAAAGAAAGACTAAACGAAGTCGTATGTTCAAAAAATTCAATACTAGTCAATTTAGATGTAACAACTCAATTCCGTGGTATGGTTGAACTGAATGTTAAAGTTTACATGATGGGGACTAATTTTATAGTACCTTTTCAGATATCAATAATTAGTTTTAAGTAGAGTAAGACATTGAAAATCAAACTGAAATCTAAATTATGATTATTTACGAGTTCATTAAAGCTCGTTAACAAGATTTTATCCAAACTATGATAGCATTTTAATAAAATAAAATAACAAAATAAAAGATAAATTAGTTTATAATGTACAAATAAACAATTAAAAATTAAGAATATATTATATTATATTTTAGAAGGTGAAATGCAATAAATATTAAATAGTAAGATAATTAATTTTTTTTTAAGAGGGCACAATAGAAGAGATAAGAATATGAAGGGCTGTTTAAAATTTTCAAATTTCTTGGGGGCGATGTGCTCTCTTACTTTGTACATGAGTCCACGCCTCCCGTGATTAGATTAGATATGGTAATGGGCTGTGCCGGATTGGTCCTTGATTGGGTACCCCTTGGCCCATGCCCAGCCCGTGTCTGACCCCATGACCTTTTCCTGGCCTTTTGTGAGGATGTCGAGTAATGTCCATTTTTGTAACTCCCAGTCCTGGCCCATATTAATTTCTATAAATTTTTTTCTCATAAACAATTTTTAATATATTTTTCTTTCTCATTCATATTAACTTGATTAATAGTATCTTTTGTTTTAATCACCATATTATATTTTTTGTGTACATAGATTAATATAGTAGACAAAAAATCTTGAGTTTAACTAAAATTGCAATTGATTGTTATCATAAATTCATACTAAAATCATAATCAAATAAAATAAAATTTTAATTTTTTTTAAATGATAAAAACTCACGCCGGGCTAGACGATAATTGTCCCAGGCCTGGCTTGTACCCGGAGGCAGGCCCTAAAAACCATGCCCAAGCCCGTGCCCATCCCTGCAAACAGTGGATAATGCTTGGCCTGTTCAGGCTGGGCCGAGTACCTGGAAATCTGGGTATAATTGCCATCTCTAGATTAGATGTAGTAACCACCTGCAACTCACGGCTGAGTTGCTGTCGAACAACCACAAATAGATGCAGTAACCACCTACAACTCACGGGAAGTAGCCACAACAACTCTGGACTGTGCGAACAGTTGTAGTGAATTGACAAGAAGTGGCAACTGAGTAAACACACGAGCAGACATAGCTGCTCACACTGACGAGAAGCTATAGCAGCTTGCATCAGTGAGCAAAACAGGGTGATGGATTTAAAAAATTAATCATAACTTCATATTTAAATTCAATATTTTAAATTTGACGGCATATTACACATTTCATTCCATTACCTCAAGATTTCTTATTATAATCAAATGAATAGAATCACATTCTATTCATCCCAATAAATTCTCGTTCACTTTCCTATTTCATACAATTCCATGAAAGTAACACCGCCTTTAATAAACGCCCACAATAGAGCTTACCGGATAATCAGGTGAACAAATTAAGCTAGAAAATATATGAAGGCAAAGAAGGGGACCTCTCTAGTCTCTACTACATCACTTGAATAATATGACATTGCTTGAATAATCCTTGCCACGCTCTTTCATTTTGATGACTTTCAAAAGGTATATAAATTACTAAATCTGCCCAGAAACCCAAGCACAAAATCCATGTGGCAAACTTAAAAGCCTATGGATAATATGCGGCCTTCCAACTGGTTTTAAAAAGGCATTGTGAATTACCAGGCAGAACATTTAGAAGGAAGACAGCTCAGCAAATTGTCGGAACTTCTCATAGGATACCCAGAACACAAATTGCCACGGACCAAGCCTGGCCCATGTAGGAAAGAAACCCTTCCACAATGCTCGTAACCCTTCACTTCTCACTGTCTTCACCAGACAATCATAGGAACTGGTATACATGATCTTATCTTCCTTGCTCGCAGCCTGATTCATTATTCTTGTCTTTACTACATCAGCTGGACAACTCAAAGCGGTTGCAGAGAGACCAGACATAATAGATGCCAAGGTGTGGGCGTAGATGTTATCATCAGCTATCTGATTGTGGATAACAAAATGTTTTGCCTGATCATAACAAGCCAATTCTCCCATATTCACTAAAAATGCTCTTTGCACATTCGGCAAAACTCCTTTCCACAGTCCTCCAAATCCTTCTGTATGAATGATCTGGTTCAAAGCTTCAAATGGCCCCAAGTATCTAGGTCGGAGACCTTTGCTTACCATACGACCATCAGCTTGCATTCTCACCTTAACTAGATCAGCAGGGCTTGCTATTATCTGTGCTACTAAGAATGAAAGGCAAGTTGTCACAAATATATATTTTGTGAAAAGAAATAATTAAAGGCAGCTATCAATACATTTGTTAAATCCCTGAGAATAAAGTATGCAGGCTACTGGATTAATTGTGCAATTTGTAAATATAGTATGCATTAGCCAACCCATATTGGTCATTCTGTGACAAAGTTTCAGTAGGTTCTCATATGTACGTAAAGCTTTACGATTTGAAGGCCATATTGTTGTTAGATTTATTCAAGTCAGACAACCACTATAAAGAGGAAGATTTCGACAAGTATACATTCTTGATGGAACCAAGCAAGCAAAGGAAATAATCAATCTTGAACATGGCAAACAAATAAAATCAAAATTATTCTTTAAATTTCGATTGAACAAGTTACTTCTACAAGTATCAACAGATGAAACAGTGAGTGCTGAGTACCTGGGGGTCAAATATAGATACATCACCAGTTATAATTTACATAAGAAAAATTAACTGTTAATTGAATAATCTTACAAGTAAACTTGTGAGGCTAAAATAGCTCAAAAAAAAATTAAGAGCATTAGGGTACTAGAAACCAGTGATACCCTCCAGAATACCTCAAGATGCGTTTCATCCAAACTCCAACCTCTACGATCAACAGTCAATTGTAAGAGAAAAGATCAATCATAACCTATACTGGAAAATTTTCACAATCTTCAATCAGCAAAACCAGACATAACAACTACCATAGATACATTAATTAAACTATTTTTTGAATGGGTAAGATTAAAGATGGAATTTATTTCAGCATCAACACACCGTTTATTATGTCACTTATGAGCAAAGACTACAGGCAAAGTCATTTCATCAGTCATAACTTCTATACCCAAGAAACTATATCATTAGGTTTAGTAAAAAGTAAACTTCATAAGAAAATGAATGGTACTTTCAAACTAATTCATTAAAATATGACTTGCAAACCTAAAGAATAATATTCTCTTGCTTTTCTATTCAACTTCATTGTTTTGAAGAAAAGCTCTAAGTCATTTGTAAGGCTTTTTCATTTTTTTTCTCTTGTATTTGCTTGTGAAAGTAGGCATCTCGATTGAATTGTCTTTATTTAAGGTAAATTTCATTTAGCATTAGCATAGTTGAAGGTTAACTTGCTGGTTGAGTTGGGAAAATAGAGAGACCTTTCGGCAATAATCTTGATGGAAGAGCAATTTTTTTTCTTTGTTTATTTTCAATACAGTATCCGGATTATCCCTCAAAAATATGGAAACTATATGATATAGCAATTATTAGACCATAGAGTTGGACAGTGAATATCAAGCTTTGCATTGATCCAACGAGAATAAATCATATCATACTTATAGTAAAATGTCACGAATTTATTCAGCACCTAAAATGTTTGAGTTGTTCCAAAGGGCGTGTAAAGAAATTAAAAGAGTGATCTATAAAATCAAAAAAGGAATACCTGGGCAATGACGCCAGAGATTCCACCCACAAGAGCTTTAGAAGAGAGGGAAAGAGAGGCGGCATTATCGGCAACAACAAGATTTCTCAAATTCTCGTAACCAACGATTCTAATAGGAGTGTAAAAGAGGTGTCTTATAATGGCAGGAGAGAGGCCTTTGTAGAGGCTGAGAGGACCCTGTTGCCGAACGATTTCCGATGCGACTCGAAACGCGTTAGTGGGTCGAGCCAGTGAGTCGGACTGGCCGTGTAGTTGGAGTCTTGTCTTGATTAGGTCTATTGGAAAGGTAGTGGTTTCTGCCATCATAGCTGAAACTGAGCTCAATAAGATCTTCATCTTCGTGTGGGTTTGGCCATGCCCTTCGCTTTGCTTCATGGCTAAACCAAACACAAACTTAAATGGTGCCTACGCCTACTAACTAATGTAAGTCATGTAAGACATTTCCGCAAACGGCTTGCGAGCATGGTTATTATGTAACATTGCAAATCTGCAAGATAACATGTCTGTCACACGGCATCGTGAGGAAATTTAATTGCAAGGACCTCTGAAATTTGCAATTGAGAAAGTAGCAAATTATTTTGCATTTTTTTTAAGTTTGAAAAACTAACGCCACTTAAGAATCACTAAACATGTAAAAAGGGTTAGACTAAAAAGATTTAAACATATATGGGTAATAGTATAATTAACAGAAATTAAATTAAAAACAAACCCCCACAAAACACCCCCCCCCCCCCCCCCCAAAAAAAAAATCAAAATCGATTAAGAGACGGCCTCAACCCAAAATAAGCGACCGACTAAACACTCGACTTCTCTCTTGCGATTTTCAACGATTTTTGTTCCCATTTTCTAGCAAATCTTTGCTCTTTGGATTTTCGTTTCCCTGTTAGTTATACATACAAACAATGGCTGACATTAACAAATGTAAGGAAAACCCAGCCCCACTCCAAATTCTAGAGTCTGGCGGTTGTTCAAAGGTTGTAGAAGAAGAGGTTTCGGTGGACCTTTCAATGAGTGAAGCTGCTCCACTGGCAGAGGACACGTCGGTGGTAGAATGGGTCTGAAGACGAGGACATCGGTGCAAATTCTGGCGAGGAGGAGGAAGAAGAGAAAGAAGAGGTACATTCCATACTATTTTATGAAAAAATTGTTTGTTGGTACCAATTTGGGGATATTTAGTTGGTGTTGGTTGTTAGGGTTGTTGTGGCATTTTGTCGAATAGTTGGCGGCATCGGGGGAGTGGCTGTTTTTGGATTCCAGATGATAGGGGAAGGTAAGGGAGGCCATAGGGAGGTTGTTTGTAGGAGGTTGGAGAGCTGGATTTGGCAGGAGGGGGCATAATAGGGGGGCTAGGGGCTGCCTATGGCCAACTTTGCAATATGCAAGGCAGCGCCCCCCCCCCCCCCCCCCTTTTCCTCTTTATTCTGCCCCCTACTGCCATCCCCAGCAATCTCCAGCCATCAAACCTTCCACAACAGCCTCTGCAGGGCTTGCCTTGGCTTCCTCGGTCCTCTCGAAGCCAAAAACACCCACTCCCCGATGCCCTCGAAGTCCGTATCCCTCAGATTGGCAGCCTATTGGTTGTTTTGGTTTCTTTTTTTGTTGATATTTAATTTATATCGATTGCACTGTGTTGTCGAAGCATGAATTATAAAGAGTATGGGTTAGAGGTTGTAATCGATATGATACCATTTCCCTGTAAGGGTGACGACTAGGTCGAGTTGGCAAGTGTTTATCAAAATAAATGAGATTTTAGGTGGACAAAAGAGGGGTATGGACTTATTCAAAGATAGTTGTTTCGGTCATTTTGTGGACATGGGAGAGAATTGGAATAAGGCATTTCGGGGGTAGGTAGAACATTACATGTTGTGTTTGGCAGAGCCCTTATCATGTTGTTTTGATTTGATGAAACACATCGATGAGGCATTGACACTGATAAAGGTGCGACAGAGCACCGTAGCTGATATTTTTTATCAACACAATGTCATCATGGATGTCTCCTTTGGCTAAAGCTTTGTGAGCATCTATGAGATGTTAATGACAAAGGCCAAGAATGGAGGTGCATCAAAGGAAGGCTAGCAGAAAAGAATAGCCGCAGAAGAGTTTGATGGTATCTTGGCTGAGTATCGATTTGATGAGAGGATGATGTAGTATACACAGGGGGAAAGGCCTAAATATGGCAATAGCTAGGCTAACGTGAAAAGGGTGTATTGCACCGTGAACATTAAGACAATGCATTGGGTAACCGTCGTATGACAACTCAATGAGGGCTTGCTGAGGATCCTTGATTGCAACCTAACTATTTGTCGGGAAAGGAAACTAGAAATGGAGATGTAGCCGCTGTGTCAGTTATTCCTACAGCTGTTGCGAGACAGCGGCCTATTTGAGCACTTGGGTGATTCATTGCTGATGAGAAAGTGGCCACACAAGGGCATTCCCGTCCCAATTAATGACGCAAGGTAAATTGTCTATAAAACTCACATATTGCAATTGTTCTATAATCTAATTATAATAGTAATGTCTTCCTCATATTGGGGTGCTGATTTTGGGGTGTATGCACTCAAACTTCTTGAGTTTGACATTACTAACACCCCAATGGACAAATTGAATGATGATAGCATGAGCAACTTTTGGGAGCTCTTGGCGGTTGAATGCTTTCATGGTAAGATAGATCCCGTAGTTGCTATCAATTGTGCTTAGGTGGTACGTGGTTTATTTCTTGCCATTCATACTTGCTTTTTATACCTTTTTTTTTGTCACGGGATGTTTGATTGAGGTTTTAATGCAGGGGTGAAGCTTTAACAAGCTAATGTGGCCAGAAAAAAAAACTTGCAAAGGATGCCATTGAGTTTGTGAGTTTTGCAGGGAGTTGCTAGCACTTATGGGGTGTTTTTTTTATCTTTGTTTGCTCATTGAATTGAGACTTGTGTTTGGGGATTGTCTTTTCTTTATGACATTAATTTGGTGAATTTTGTTTGTGAGACTAAGATGCTATTTCTTGGATGCTGTTAGGATTGTGAAGCACGCCATGGAAATTATCAACCTTTTGATTGACCAGAACCCAATCCAAGTCATCATTAATGTTGTCATCAATAGGTATGGAAGTTGAACTTAGAGTTTTGTAATTTATGTGAATTCATTTCTTATATGGATAATTGGGTTGTCATGAATTGGATCAGCTGGTGTTGTTAGGCATCAGGCTATTGATAATTGGGTTGTGATGCATTAAACTGATGTTATGTATGCTTTTGTTGCCAAGGTCAAGGCTAGATAATGTTGGAAAGGATGTTGTAGAAGAAGACGAAGAGGATGCTACTGATGCTGAAGGGGTGTTGGATAATTTTGGAGGATGGGGAAGTGACTGGAGACAATGATAAAGAGGGAGGATGGAGGCTGTTGTTTTTTTTGGGTTGCTTTAGGACATTTATTTCTTGTTTATAATGATTTTTTTTCCTTTTTACTTTGACTTTAATTAGGAATACACTTTCTTAGTTTAATTATCTCTTACTATAAAAGAGATCAATGTTGTATTTTCATCTAATTGAGACATTTTAGATCTATAAAAGAGGAATTCAGTATTTCTTTCCCTTTTTTGACTCTATTTAGAAATCTTTTTAAATGGAATTAATATGTGTTGATGCAAATAGGTTGTCAAATTGAGGAGAAAATATGGAATTAATATGTGTTGATGTAATTAGGTTGTCAAATTGAGGAGAAAAGATGGAATTAATATGTGTTAGTTCAATTAGGTTATCAAATTGAGGAGAAAAGATAGAATTAGTATGTGTTGGCGATGATCATTTAAGTGATGACGGATATCACTTTGAGCGATCAATGGTTACCTATACTGGATTGCTTAAGCGAGATCTGACATCGCTTAAGCGATCGTGGACTTGAGGATGATTTTGACAATGCCTTGGCCATGGTCGCTTAAGCAATGTCTTGTATCGCTTAAGCGACGAAGGCTTATGTATATTGGATCGCTTAAGCGAGACCTGACATCGTTTAAACGATCATGCACTTGGGATGATCTTGACATTGCCTTGGCCTTGATCGCTTAAGCGATTTCGGGTATTGCTTAAGCCACGAAGGCTTATGTATATAGGATCGCTTAAGCGAGACCTGACATCACTTAACCGATCGTGCACTTGAGGGTGATCTTGACACTGTCTTGGCCTTGATCACTTAAGCTATGTTAGGTATTGTTTAAGCGACAAAGGCTAATGTAACGAGACTTGATATCACTTAAGCGATCATGCACTTGGGGATGATCTTGACACTGCCTTGGCCTTGATCGCTTAAGAGATGTTAGGTATTGCTTAAGCCACAAAGGCTTATGTATATAGGATCGCTTAAGCGAGACCTGACATCACTTAACCGATCGTGCACTTGAGGATGATCTTGACACTGTCTTAGCCTTGATCACTTAAGTGATGTTAGGTATTGTTTAAACGACAAAGGCTAATGTAACAAGACCTGACATCGCTTAAGCGATCGTGCACTTGGGGATGATCTTGACACTGTCTTGGCCTTGATCGCTTAAGAGATGTTGGGTATCGTTTAAGCGATGAAGACTTATGTTTATTGGATTGCTTTAGCGAGACCTGACATCGCTTAAGCGATCATGCACTTGGGGATGATCTTGACACTGCCTTGGCCTTGATTGGTTAAGCAATGTCGGGTATCGCTTAAGTGACGAACGTTAAATGTACTGGATTGCTTAAGCGAGACTTGACATTGCTTAAGCGATCGTGCACTTAGGGATGATCTCGACACTACCTTGGCCTTGATCACTTAAATGGCGTTGAATATCGCTTAAGTGATCAAGGGTTATCTATACTGGATCGCTTAAGCGAGATCGGACATTGCTTAAGTGATCTTACACTTGAGGATGATTTTGACACTGCCTTGGCCTTGATCGCTTAAGCGATGTCTGGGATCATTTAATCGATGAAGGCTTATATATGCTGAATCGCTTAAGCGAGACATGACATCACTTAAGCGATCGTGCACTTGAGGATGATTTTGACGAAAATTGGCTTTGGTCGCTTAAGCGATTTTAGGTATCGCTTAAGTGACAAAGGCTTATATATACTGGATTGCTTAAGCGAGAGCTGTATCACTTAAGCTATCTTTTTTTTTTTTTTTTAATGGATTATTTGACAACCCTATATTAAGTAACATTAATGTTAACTTGGGACGTTCACAACATCACAAGATTCGGGAGAAAATAAGCAAATTAGCTTTGATCGCTTAAGCGACATCGGTTATTAACACATATTAAATCGAATTAAAAAGGATTATTTGACAACTTAATTCCATCAACACATATTAAAGCCATTTAAGAAGATTATTAATGTTAATTTAAACCTTTGACGTTCACAAAATCAAAATATAACAGCTATGATATGTGACTAACAACCTTATGATACATGGAGGAATGTCATAGCACACTAGGGTGACACGTTAGTAGAAACGTACCTCATTTCACAAATATGGATGGTTATGATTGAATATAGAGCTAACCACAATACAAAAAGATATCC